CCAGCGCGGCACCAGAAGAGAACGCGCGCGCGCGGGATGCCCCGCCCATCGCCCGCTCCATGGTCTCGTCGTCCTTGACTCTCATCAGACCCAGGCTGTAGATCTTGGGAGGGGAGAAGCGGGCAAAGAGGGACAGGGGGAGGAGGCGGATGAGAATGAGGGAGATGATGGGGGAGGAGGAGGAGGGGATGATGAGAGGAGATGAGGAGGAGAGGAGGAGGAGGATGAGGAGGAGGAGGAGGAGGTAGGACGGAGGGAAGAGGAGGAGCAGGAGCAGGAGCAGGATGAGAGAAGCGGGAAGCAGGGGAATGGATGGAGGAGGACGGAGGAGGAGGACCGAAGAGGCGAGGAAGGCGAGGGGGGCGAGGAGGGGGGGAGAGGGGGAGGAGGGGAAGGAAGGCAAGCTAGGTGTTCTCACGTCAGAGAGAGAGCGTGATCCACCGCCGCTTTCCTTTGGAAAATTGCCGACTTTTTCCTCCAGAGCCCGGGGTCCCCCCCCCCCTCCTGAAATCCCCCACCTGCTGCATCTCCCCCTCTTACTTCTCCGCCCTCGGCAACCCCCCCCCTCCCCTAACCCATCTCCCCCCCCCCCCAACCCTCCCCTCTCGCAAAGCCGGTAGGGGGGGGTTCGCTACCGGTTCGACCCCCCCCCCCCCCTCTCGAAACCGTAAGTGGGGGGTCACTACCGTTTCGAACCCCCCCCTCCCCCCCCCCCCCCTATCACCACCAGAAACGACTCCGGGTCCCTACCACCGTCCTCACCACATCCCCACTGTTGTTCCCAGCACCACTGTCCTCACCACTCACCACCACTGTCCCTACTGGTTCCACCACCGCCCCTACTGTCCCCACCAGTGCCACCACCACTGTCGCACTGTCCCCACTGTCCCCACCACTGTTCCCACCACGGCTCCACTCTCCCAACTTTCCCCACGGCCCCAACCACTGCCCGAATATCCCCCACTGTCCCCACTGTCCCACTGACTCCTCCGCTGTCCCACTGAGCTGTCCCACTGTTCCCACCACTGTCCCCACTGTCCCCACCACTGTCCCCACTGTACCTCTGTCCAATTGTCCCACCGCCGTCCTCGCCACCGCCTTCACCACTGTCCCCTCATTGTCCTACTGTTTTCCACCACATTCCCACTGTCCCCACCACCACCGTCCCCACCACTGTCCCACTGTCCCCACCATTGTCCTCACCATTGTCCCCACCACTACCGTCCCCACCACTGTCCCACTGTCCCCACCACTGTCCCGCTGTCCCCTCACCACTGTCCCCACCACCACCGTCCCCACCACTGTCCGCATCCCCCCTCGGTTTTCCAGGAGGGGGTGGGGGGGTCGAACCGGTGGGGGTTTTCGAACCGGCAGTGACCCCCCCCGTTTTTCGAGATTGATGGGGGGGGGGGGGGGGGGTTCGAACCGGTAGTGACCCCCCCTGCGGTTTTCCGGAGGGTGGGGGGGAGGGGTTCGAACCGGTAGTGACCCCCCCCGGTTTTCCGCCAGCAACGGGAGAACACGCTCTTTCTCTATATGACGTCCTACCCCTCCCTCCCATCCCTTACCATGGCGTAGATCTCCTCTCTATTCGCACAATCAGATGTCGCAACATGGAATAGCATTACACGGCATAGTATGGTGTTGAAGATCAACGCGTAGCATGACATAGCATGACGTGGCGACGCCACGAAGTGTGGGGGGGGGCTTCTGCGGCCCAAAACACAAACGAATCGGCACCGAATGTGTAATCACTTCCGATGGTTTTGTCGTAGATGTTGCGGTCCGTCTGGAAGAAAAGAAAACCATGCCGTCGTGGCATGGCACTGGAAATAATGACGCCAACGCTGCAGCGGGAGCACGATTCGCGACGAGCGGAAGCGCGGAAATGAGGCCAGCGCTGCAGTGGGAACACGATTCGGAACAGCGAGAGCAGCATTTTTTAACGGAGAAAACGCGCGGAAACGCGGAAATGAGGACGCGTAGCCTGACATAGCATGGCGTGGCGACGCCCCAAAGTGGGGGGGGGCTTCTGCGGCCCAAAAAATCAACGAATCGGCACCGAAGGTGTCGCCAACGCTGCAGCGGGAGCACGATTCGGAACGAGCGGAAGCGCGGAAATGAGGCCAGCGCTGCAGCGGGAGCACGATTCGGAAAGAACGGTAGCCCGAAAATGAGGAAAGTGCTTCAGCGAGAGCAGTATTTTGATAACAAAAAACCCGAGCGAAAACCCAACTCCCGGGAATTCTGTATTAAAAAACCCATGCTCGGAGGAGGGCCGAATATTGCCCAGATGCCACCAAGGGAGCGAGGAGAGTATTCATATTGTGTTATTGTGGAGAGGGAGGACGGAGGGGTGAATTGCGGGTTTGGGCCTAGGAGGGTGAGACTGGGAGGCGGATTCAGTCGAAGAAAAATCAGACTAGTGCGGCAGGCCACTCTTCAAGCTGGGCTTCTTCTGGCGTTGCCCCAACGTGACGAGAGCAGCGAAAGCCTCTGGGTGCCTTTGAGAATCCTTCGGAAGTGTCCGAGAACAGCTGAATGCCTCGTCCGCATCATCCCTCCTCACTCATCTATCCTCGCTCATCCTGCATCCCCCCTCCCTCTTCTGGATTCTAGACTCAGGTCGGGCATGTCCCCCTACAGGGGAATTTGGACGAACAATTAAACATTACGCCCAAAGTGGTCAAACATAGTCAAACAAATCGTCCCCAAACTATTTTTCGACTATTTTTGAGTAACCTCATGCCCGTGAGAATAAACACTAGGGGATAATAAAGTTCGGGGTTCAGGGAGAGATAATAAAAGTAGCCCAGCAGACCTCAGCATAATCTCGAAGTAAGAGATGATCAAGAGGAGACCAAGCCGAGCACGTTTTGAGACATCCTTGGCGTTTAGTTTTCATAGAAATATCCTCAACAATGGCTGATCTCGCTGGAATGGAGGAAGCTATATATAAAAAAGAAAAAGAAAAATAAAAAATAATACCATAAAAGAAATGATAGGAGGAGGAGAAGGACGAAGAGAAGAAAAAATATCGAGATTCAAACCTATTAGATTTTATTTACAAACGCTTTATGCAAATTGTGTTTTGTAAGTGCTCGTGTAGGGTAGCTCATGTGCCTCAATTTCCATGGATGATCAACCCCAGAGATAAAAAAGTTCAGGCGAGCGTGGGGACAGAGAGAAATATAAAAGAAGAATAATACAGTATAATAATACTAATAAAGAAGAAGAAGAGGAGAATAAGAAGAGGACGAAGCAAGGAAAAATCCAAAGTTCCAAATCTATCAATTTTAATTTACAAACGCTTTATGAAACTTGATTTGTTTAAGTGCTCGTGTAGGGTAGCTCATGTGCTTCATTTTCCATGGATAATCAACCCCAGGGATAAAAAAGTTCAGGCGAGCGTGAGGACAGATAGAAATATAAAAGAAGAAGAGGAAAGTAGAATAATAATAAGAAGAGAAAAAGAAGAGAAGAATAATAAGAGAAGAAGAACGGAAAAATGGAAAGTTCCAAATCTATCAATTTTAATTTACAAACGCTTTATGAAAATTGATGTTTTTAAGTGCTCATGTAGGGTAGCTCATGTGCTCCCCTTTCCATGGATAATCAACCCCAGAGATAAAAAAAGTTCAGGCGCGCGCGGGGATAGCAACATCGCTTGAATGTGCTATCTCAACATAGCGTTTCGAGGTGATAATGAAGTTCGGCCTCAGCGCTCGCCGCCCAATTTGAATTTTGTATAGGGCGACGATAATCAACTCTAAACACTGAAGGGGGGGGGGTCCCTTTATTATCATCGGCATCGCGGTTACTCCTCCTGTAGAGGGACAGACCCGACGTAATTCCAGACGCCGCTTGCACCGAGCGGACACGGCACCTCGGGCACCCCAAGGGAGAGCCGCCATGGGTATCGCGATGGCCCGCCCACGGCAGGGTTGTGGGGATGCCTCACAGTTGGAGCTCGACCACAGGAAAGCTTCCACGAGGAACCCAACCCTGAGACCCCATGACGTCCATTGATCTTTGGCGCGGGAACGTCACGCTTTCCACAGCAACACCATCGAAACCCAAGAAGCCCAGCGCACCCTGGAGGCGAGCAGGGTGTTTCTGGGCATGGGTCTCCACTGCAGTCCTGACCCCCCTGTCCGACGCCGTGTGGCTTTCGGGCCACAGCCCTAGCCTCCAGCAGTTGGATGGCGATATCCGGGCGCCCCTGAAAAAAAGCTGGCGGCGAGGCGCGGCATCATGGGGTGAGAAGCCCCCAAAAAAACCAACGAGCATGTCCGTCCCCTCCCCTCTTCGACGAAAACGTCCTCATCCCCCCTTCTGGGGCTGGAGGAGCAAACACGGCATAAACAGAAACTGTCGGAGGTCTGCGGGGATTTCTTGGATCTGCGCCGAAGCCCTCTCCCTGGCGCCCTGGAGCGCGCCATGGGCAGCGCTGGAATCGCCGCCAGGGGGCACCAGCGCCGATCCAGTAAATCTGCGCGGAGCTCCGTTCATGGTGAGCGCTTTCTTATTCGGCGGTTCGACATCGGGCGGGAGGGGGGAGGAGGGGGAGGGTCTGGCTCCGGACCTCTGCTTCATGCGATTGTTTGCAGCAGTGCGTCATCTGGGGGAAAACAGGCGCCAAAAACACAGAAGATCTACTCCATGGGTGGGGGGAGGGGGGGGGATGCGAGGGTCCGTGCCGATCGGCAGAATAATGAATAAGAAAACGATCACATGTTTACGCAAGCATTTCATCTTCGACCTCCTGGAGGCCCCCGATTCGGGTGTTGCCAGAACTGCGTTTAGTGGAACCTGGTTTAGTGATGTGTACTGGGGGACGCCGCCCCCCCCGCCCCGTTCCACTAACTGAAACTGCCGTCACCCGTAAAAACACCAACTACTGCAGACCTGGTTTAGTGATCCTGGCCAATTCAGGGGCTCCCGGGCCTTACTACTGACCGGGTCCCCTTACCAGGTGTCCTGGCTATACCCGACCGATCCTACCTCCCGGCAGGGCTCGCCAACGTCGCGAGGCTCGCGGGTTCCATCTCTTCCAGCAGGTTGCGGCGCCTGGCGGCGCTCGCACCAGGGGCCCCGCCGCCGCCCCCGCCCCCGCTGCGAGGAGGGGGGCGGAGGAGGAGGGGCAGGAGGAGGAGGAGGAGGAGGAGGAGGAGGAGAAGGAGGAGGGCGAGGAGGAGGAACTAGGGCGAGGAGGAGGAGAGGAGAGGAGAGGGCAGGAGGAGGAAGAGGAGGGTGAGGATGATGAGGAGGAAGGAGGAGGAGGAGGGAGTTCGGTGATGCGTAGGATGCATTAGTTGAGTATAGTGATTTGTGGATAGTAGGGAGGAGGAGAGGATGTAGTAGGATTAGTGGGTGAGTGTTGGAGGAGGAGGAGGATGGGGAGGAGGAGGAGGAGGAGGAGGAGGTGCAGGAGGAGGAGGAGGAGAAGGAGGAGGAGGAAAAGAATAATAAAAATAATAAGAAAAAGACAAATAAGAAGAATAATAACAATAATAAGAATAATAAGATTATCCCGGCAAAGCAACCTAACAGCGATATGTAGAAGCATATCTGAAAGCATTCCCCTTAAGATTCAGATGACAATCCAGTTGTAGAATTCTGCTGTTCTCGCAGTCGTAGTCGCATTCGCGATGACAGTCGCAGCGGCAACGGCAGTCGCAGTCACAGCCTCAACCTCAGCCTGCCTCAGCCTCAGCCTCAGCCTGCCTCAGCCGCAGCCTGCCTCAGCCTCAGCCTCAGCCTGCTTCAGCCTCAGCCTCAGTCTGCCTTCACCCTCGGCCTCCGCCTCAGCCTGCCTCAGCCTCAGCCTGCATCAGCCTCAGCCTCAGCCTCAGCCTGCCTCAGCCTCAGCCTGCCTCAGCATCAGCCTGCCTCAGCCTCAGCCTCAGCCTGCCTCAGCCTCAGCCTCAGTACTGCTTCAGCCTCATCCTCAGTCTGTGGCCTTCAGCCTCAGCCTCAGCCTCAGACTGCCTCAGCATCAGCCTGCCTCAGCCTCAGCCTCAGCCTGCCTCAGCATTCAAAATGTGGCCCGGGAATGTAGTTCTGGGAACTCGAAGAACACGAAGTGGCCTACAGTTGGCTCCGGGCATTCAAAATCATGCCCAGGAATGGAGTTCTGGGAACTTGAAGAGCACGAAGTGGCCTACAGTTGCCTCCTGGCATCCAAAATGTGGCCCGGGAATGGAGTTCTGGGAACTTGAAGAACACGAAGTGGCCTACAGTTGCCTCCTGGCATCCAAAATGTGGCCCGGGAGTGGAGTTCTGGGAACTCGAAGAGCACGAAGTGGCGTACAGTTGCCTCCTGGCATCCAAAATGTGGCCCGGGAATGGAGTTTTGGGAACTTGAAGAACACGAAGTGGCCTACAGTTGGCTCCGGGCATCCAAAATGTGGCCTGGGAATGGAGTTCTGGGAACTCGAAGAGCACGAAGTGTGTGACTGTTGGCTCCGGTTATTCAAAATGTGGGCCGGGAATGGAGTTCTGGGAGGTCGAAGAGCACGAAGTGTGTGATTGTTGGCTTAAAACGAGCCCGGCTCTGTTCCCGGTTCTTTTGCCCGGCACCCGCCCAGACCCCTCTGTGGAGTCATCAGATGCTCTCTTTTGAGTCCACTAGAAACCTATCAGCAAAAGCTGTTAGGTAAAAAATGAGAAGACTAATATGAATAATGATAATAATAATAATGAGAAAAAGAAGAAGAAGAAGAAGAAGAAGAAGAAGAAGAAGAAGAAGAAGAAAGAGGAGTAGGGGGAGGAGGAGGGAGGGGGAGGGGGAGGAGAAGGAGGAGAAGGAGAAGAAGAAGAAAAAGGAAGAGGAGGAGCAGGAGGAGGGGGCGGAGGCAAGCGTGGAGAAGGAACGTGGAGTAGGAGGAGGAGGAGGAAAAGGAGGAGGAACGAGGAAGGAAATTGGAGGAGGAACATGAGGAGGAAAAGGAGGAGGAGAGGGGAGGAGGGAGGGAGGAGGAGGAGGAGGCGAGTAGGATGAGGAGGAGGAGCAGGAGAGAGGAGGAGAGTGGGGAGGGCGGAGGGAAGGGAGGAGGGATGAGGAGTTAGGAGGAGGAGAGGAGGAGAAGATAGGAGGAGGAGGAGGGGCGAGGGAGGGCGGAGGGAGGAGGGAGGAGGAGGATGAGGAGGAGGAGGAGGAGGAGGAGGAGGAGGAGTAACTGGAACAAGGAAGAGGGAGATCCCCCTCGCCCCCGAGATCGTCAACGTCCTCTACGCCTTCGGGCGGTACCAGTACGTCTCGCTCAAGTTAGTCAACGGAGGAGGAGGAGAAAAAAAAACGAGAAAAAAAGTAGGAGGGAGGGCGGAGGAGGAGAGGGAAGACAGGGAAGGGTGTTGAGGGATGGGGAGGGGGGCGGGGAGCGGGGCGGGGTGGGAGGGTGCAGACGGGGATAATCAGAGGGGGAAAGAGGTGAAGGAGGGAGAGGGGGGAGAACGAGTGCGTGCAAGAGAACGTGCGTCGCTCCTTCCGTCCTGATCGAACTCAACTGTGGCCCGACACGGGCGCCCCCAATTGTTTGAAACACGGTGGGGCCGTCTCACGCTTTCCTTTACCTAACCATTTTCAACATGCGCTACGATGCACATGCATGCCGGCTCTGCGACACTTCATGTCCTGGTGGCAGAGGGAGGAGGAATGGGGGAAAGAGGACCAGGACAAGGACGAGGACAAGGAGGACTCGGGGACGAGGATGAAGAGGATGAGCAATGAGCAGGAAAGCAGCAGCAGCAAGACAGGGAGCAGAACCAGGAGCGGGAGGACGGGGGGAGGGGGACGAGCAGAACCGCGGGGAGGAGGAAGGCGGAGCGAGAGAGCGAGGGAGGGGGGACCAAGGCGGACGAGGAGGATGAGGAGGAGTACGAGGCGGCAGGAAGGCGGACGAGGAGACAAGAGGGAGGAGGAGGGGAGGGGGGGGGCGACGAGCAGGGGGCGAGGAGGGGTGGGAGCAGCGTGACAGCCTCGTCTCCTCGATCATGGCGTTGACGAATTTGAGCGAGACGTACTGGTACCGCCCGAAGGCGTAGAGGGCGTTGACGATCTCGGGGGCGAGGGGGATCTCCCTCTCCCTCGTTCCAGTTACTTTTCCTCGCCATCCTCCCTCCTCCTCCTCTTATTTTTCTTATTCTTCTTAGTATTATTAGTATGATTCGTCTTCGTCTTCGTCTTCTTATTATTATTCGTATTCGTATTCATCTTCGTATCCGTATGGTTATTATGGTCATATTGATTATTGACATTATTATTAGTAGTATTCTTCTTATTACTAGTATATCAACTAGAACTATCCGAGGCATGAATAGTATTACCATTACCATCATCATCATCATTATCAGTATCACTGCTATTCATATCGTTATTATTGGTGTTAGTCTGATCATTGTTATTCGTAACATTATTATAATGCTTCCTCTGATTCATCTTCCTCTTCTTCCTCTTCTTCCTCCGAACTCCCTCCTCCTCCTCCTCCTCGTATCCTCCTCCTCCTCCTCCTCCGCCTCCGCCTCCGCCTCTTCCCTCCTCCCTGCTCCTCCTCCTCCTCCTCCTCTCCCTCCTCCTCTCCTCCATCATCCTCTCTCTCCTCCTCCCTCTCCTCCTCCTCCTCTCCTCCTCCTCCTCCTCCTCCTCCTCCTCCTCTCCTCCTCCTCCTCCTCCTCCTCGTCCTCAGAACTCCCTCCTCCCGCCTTCCTCCTCCTCCTCCTCCTCCTCCTCTCCTCCTCCTCCTCCTCCTCCCCTCCTCGTTCCTCCTCCGCCTCCTCCTTCTCCTCGTCATCCTCCTCCTCCTCCTCCTTCTCCCCTTCCTCCTCTCCTCCTCCTCCTCCTCCTCCTCCTCCTCCTCCTCCTCCTCCCCCTCACTCCTCTTCCTCCTCCTCCACATCCTCCTCCTCCTCCTCTTCCTCATCCTCCTCCTCCTCCTCCTTCTCCTCCTCCTCCTCCTTCTCTTCCCCCCCTCTCCCTCAGCCTCCGCCCGTTGTCCTTCTGAATGGCTCCTCTCTGTCGCGCCCGAAACGTGTCGGCGGGGCGGGCCGTTCATGCCGCCTGAGGCTTCCTCACCGTATGCGGCGTCCAAGCTTAAGTTTGCAACAAGTCACGGATGGGGGAGCGGGCCTCTTTTGTAACCTCGGCTCTCGCCTGATCGCCCCACCCAGTCGCCCCCGAGCGTTGCAAAGGGTTGGAGGGATGGAAAGGGGGGTGCGTTTCAAACTATGGTTCTCGCCTTGGTGTCGCGCGCACTCGTCTCAAGACTGAGCAGCAGCTCCAATGATTAGCATGGTCGACGTCCCAGGAATGGTGTTTGGGAGCGGCGTAGGACTGCCAGGGCGCAGCAGTCTCGTTGGTTCGCGGTGCTGAAGTATTAGGGATGGCGTTCTTGCACGACTCAGGGTCGCCAGGACGCAACAGTTTCGCTGATTCGCGGAACTGACATCCCAAATTTGGTGCTCTGGCACGGCTCAGGATATTCAAACGGTTGCCTTCCAACGGGCAACTTCCCCCCAGTGGCCCGAATTCCTTGCAGGGGCCTGTGGAAAGAGAGGCGAACTCGGAGGAGAATTGTTATGGGTTGGTTGCAACATCGTTGGTGGGCCTTGGGCGTGCACGTGCCCCTCCTCCCCCTACCCTCCCCTGAGCCTCCTCGTGTGTCTCCTCCTCCACCTCTTCCATTCCTTCCTCCTCCTCCTCCTCCTCCTCCTCCTCCTCCAACCTTCCTCGCCATTCCCCTCCGCCTGATCCTCCCTCTCCACCTCCTCGTCCACCTCCACCTCCTCCTCCTTGGTCCCCCTCGCCCACACCTCCTCCTCCTATTCCTCCTCCTCCTCCTCCTCCACCTCCTCCTGCTCCTCCTCCTCCTGCTCCTGCTCCTCCTCCTCCTCCTCCTCCTCGGTCGGTCGGTCGGTGACTTAGGGAATGAGTCAGGACCCCATGCAGAGCGTGAGACGAGAGCGGCAGCAGAGAAGATTAGGGAAGAGGCAGCGATCGCGGCAGCGGGCGAGCCTCCCTGAGGTGAAACACGCCGCCCCCCTCCAAATGGAAAGTCCAGTCCCTCGTCAAGTTGAGCCCCTGTAAATCATTTACAGGGGCTCAACTGGGCGTTCACATGCCCTGATCCCACGCAGGATTGGCTATTTACTAAATGCCCAGTCCTGCGTGGGAGACGAGCCCGTACACGTGGTAGGTGATAACGAGACTTCGGCAGATCACAGCCACGGTAGGAGGGGAAACAACGGCACCAGCACGCGTGCATGCTGGTAGGGCTGGCATTCTCCAGGGTACTACCACCTCACGGCGGCGAAAACGATTACCTTCCCCTGGGTGCTGCGAAGGTGATGGTGCCGCGCACACCCCAGCCGCGAAACAGGACACCCCTGACAGCGAGAGTTACGATGCCGCGCACACCCAGGGGCTAACATAATAGAACCTCCTTCCAACTTATGTGTACTGCGAGAGCGGGTGCCGCGCACACCAGTTTCTATGAATGGGGGGGTGGGTGCCCTAATGAACGTAATCGCGACCCCTCTGGAGCTCAAGGAAAAGGTCGAGGGGCACAACCAAAGGAGCGATCCTTTCGTCAAGGTCCAAAGGGGTCCCGAAAAAAAAGACGAGAACTGATCCTGGATGGACATGAACGCAGACTTGGCCAGGAAACGACACAACTGGGAGGGTCGAGCCCTGACGGCAACACGGCCCCTCCCCCCGAGGTGTTGCGCTCATCCAGAACAAAAGGGTGGACAATATCCTGACACCTCCCGTGATGGGGCAACTCACGCAACAAACGGCCCATCATGGGCACATGTATGCCAAGAAGGGATGTGGGTTCTCAGGAAGCGAACCCGAACATACACAGGTCAATCCCAAACAAATGAACCGCAGGCATCCTGGCAAATCGTGAGGAATGGAAAGCGCCAGCTACTGGGAACACTGGCACGATGCACATCAGGAGCCGGGTGTTCCATCACTGCTGGCAGGCCGCGATTCCACGCAGCCACAAGAAAATCAATGGTGGTTCGCAGCCAGGCGTTGTCTAAATCGACCTGGATTTGGTTTTTGGGCGTTAAGCATCGAAGTCCCCACATGTACTCAGGTGTCCTTAGGGGGCGGGGCTGGGGTCCAGGATGCTCTGCTGGTAGGGGGTTGTGACGAGCAGCACTCCGCGTCTTGTCGGGGGGGGGCCGCCACCGCCCCCGCGATCCACCCCTCGTCCATGAGACGCAGCCAGAAAGACACATGATCAGACTTAGTAGTATCCCCCTTAGGGGTCAAACAAAAACAGGAAATCTTGGGGCTCTCTTGGGGGCCTCTTGGGGCGCCCATGGGGGCGTCTCGGGGCGCTCTTGGGGGCCTTTGGGGGCCGATTGGAACCGCGCGAGCAGGAGCAGGATGGAGCAGCAGCAGCATGCAGCAGCAGCAGCAGCAGCAGAAGCCGACAACTGACAAATCGCGCGCAGGCAGACCCCCCACTTGGGAGAAATGACGGGGGGGCCCGATCGAAATTGACCCTCCTGGAACGATGAATAACGGCGGAAACGCTCCACCACTGACACCCCGCCCCGTTGACGACTGAACCGGCTCGAATGCACTTGCCGGGTCAACCCTTCATAACCAGGGGTGATCTAGACTTGCCCCTATATTTTGTGGAGGCCGCGAAAGCTGATCACAATATCACTAAGTGCTGCCTGTTGCCGAGCTCTTTTAATGGCCCTGTGCTGTCGTAGGATACGTTTGCTGAGAGTTGTTCTGGTGGCTGCGTCGCTGTGCGGTGTGTTCCTGCGTTGCCGAATGAATGCCTGCAGTTGTCGTGCGGTCTCGTCGTCGTCGCATGTGGCATGAGTCTGTTGGTGTTGCTCGTTGTCTTTTTACTGCTGGTAGTCTTCGTAAGCTGCTTTGAGTGCATGCTCAGTGCGGTCGCAGGTGTTTTGCACGTCGCATGGTTGATCGCTGTTTGTGAGGTGTTCACGCAAATGGTGCTGGAAATCAACATCGTTAGTTTGCAATTTATGTTGGTGCGTGCGCTTGCGCCGTCGTTTCCGTCGTCGTGGTCGTTGTTTCGCGCAGCCCAGTGTCATCCGGAGGTGCACGGCCTGGTGGTCGGAGCCATGGTCGGGGCGCGTCGTGGCAAAAGCATCGAATATCGAATGCCGGTCTCGCTGGTCCACGAGGATGTAGTCGATCTGTGACTGCTTAAGTTTGGAGCCGGCATGCGCGTGCGTGAAGACGTTCTCCGGGCGCTTGTAGAACATGGCATTGGCGATGCTCAGCTTGCGCGTGCCAGCCCACGATCGTAGCCATGTCCCACGACAATTGCGTTCCCCCATTCCACTGCTTCCGAGCATGCGTCTCTCCCTGCCCGCGGCGTCGTCGTCGCCGTCGGAGTCGTCGTCGCACCGTCTGCCAACCTTCGCGTTGAAGTCGCCCGCAAGTATTGTCGTTATCCTCTGCTGTTGTGCGTCTTCATGCATTTTTATAAGCACGTCGTAGATGCACTGTACATGTTGGTCGCTGTACCCTCCGCGTGGGAAATATGCTGTGGCGATTCGGACTGGTCGTTGTGGAAAATCCAGGTCTACGTATGCAATCCGTTCATTCACAGCTTCGAATCTCCTGATGCGTCGCGCATGCCGCTCGCGCACCAAGAAAGCGACGCCTCGAATTGGAGAGTCGTGCCCTGGCGCCGCAAATACGCGACCGCAGCGCTCTGTAACCCAAAACTCTCGTTTTGCCGTCCTCCATGTTTTGTTGAGTGCCACAACATCCCATTTTATATCATCGAGCTCGTCGAGTAATATATCAATCGCTGCGTCGTTGGTGAGGCTACGGACATTTTTGTGGATAATCGTCACAGTATCGTCGGCACTGCTCGGCCGTAAAGCCGTTGCAGAATTGCGTTGGTCTGCATTGTCGTCGTGTGATCGCGGTGTGAATGTCGAGGTCGGATGCTGCATTTCCGTCGCTGCACGCCGTCGAGGGGGACGTGGGTGTCGGAATCCGACAGGCACGTCACCTTCAGAGTTGGCGCACCGGCCCCGTCCACCGCCAGTGCTGCATTGAACTGCGTAATGCCGGTGGCAGGAGGGAATTGGTGAGAGCTGGAGGTCATGGGTCGCGGTTTGTCGGCGTCGGCATCGGGTCTTCGTCGGAGCGGCGTCGGCTCAGAGCTGTCGCAACGGCGTCGGCGTCGGCGTCGAAGTCGTCCCAGATTTGTCGCCACGGCGGCGGCGTCGGCGTCGCGCCCAGCGGAGTCGGAGTCGAGTCTTCGTCGGAGCGGCGTTGGCCCGGAGCTGTCGTCACGGCGTCGGCGTCTGCGTCGAGTCGCCCCAGAGACGGCGTCGGCGTCGGCGCCGCGTCGGAACGGCGTCGGCGTCGAATCTTCGTCGGAGCGGCATTGGCCCAGAGCTGTCGCAACGGCGTCGGCGTCGGCGTCGAATGGCCAGCAGGTTGGAGACAAATACTGGTGGTCGAATACCGGGGGTCGGTAAGTGGAGGTGGAAGCGGACTGTCGAATGCTGGAAGCTGGAGGTCGGAGTGCTGCGCTGTTGGAGGCTGGAGGTCGGGAGGTGGAGGTGGAGGTGGAAAATCGAATGTTGGATGCTGGAGGTCGTAGCGTTGCGCTGGTGGGCGCTGTAGGTCGGCAGGCGGAGGTGGAAAGTCTGATGCTGGACGCTTGGGGTCGGAAAGATGAGCAATGTCGATTTGGAGGTCGCTCGCAAGAGGTGGGGGTGGAAACTCGGATGCTGTTGGGTGGAGGTCAGAATGTTGAGCTGCTGGACGTTGGATGTCAATAGGTGGAGGTGGAGGTGGAAAGTCTGATGATGGAGGTCGGAGGTTCGAGTGTTGAGCTGGTGGGCGCTGGAGGTCGATAGGTGGAGGTGGAGATGCTGGAAGCTGGAAGTCGGAATGTTGCGCTGGTGGACGCTGGAGGTCGAGTGGCAGAGGCGGAGGTGGAGAGTCGGATGCTGGGTGCTGGGGCTCGGAGCGCTGGGTGCTGGACGCTGGAAGTCGATAGGTGGAGGTGGAGGTGGAGAGTCGGACGTTGGAGGTTGGAGGTCGAAACGGTGAGCTGCTGGACGCTGGAGGTCGAGAAGTGGAGGTGGAGGTGGAAAATGCGTGGTTGGAAGTCTGAGGTCGGAGTGCTGAGCTGGTGGAGAATGGAAGTCGGTAGCGAGATCGCACACTCTGCATTCCCAAGGTCTGTCCTGGACGAGCTGGTCGCCGGGATACTGTCGGAAGTGGTCGCGTTGCCCGAGCCCAATGCATCACCTGCAGAGAAAACGAATAGAGAGAAGGTTGTTCCATAGCTCGCCGCTCCACATTGCCATCTTCATCGCGGATGCCACCGAAGACGCTGCGTACATGAGTGATAGAGGACGAGGAGCTGGAGGTAAATGCTGTGCGAATGCCGTCAGTGACGGTGCAGTCCTAGTTTCAGTCAGGCAAGGTGGTGAGAACTGCACCGGTGGGAACAAAGGTATCTTTGCCCAAACTCGTGCAACCACCCATCAATTGTCGGCGTATTTGTCCGTATTATGGCCGCTGTCGGTATTGAAGTACCGAGCGCGTGCACGTAAAGAATGGAAGTCTTGAGCTGCTCCAATAAAGGCGCCAGTAGATCCCGATTCGGTTTGTAGTTGTTCGGCCCCAGCACTGGCCGCTGCTGTATTTGCGCCGAAAATCGCATCCAGTGCCCGCCGTATTTCCTACTTGCCGTTTCCCGTGGATGCGCCTTTTGCCGCGCCTTTCATCCCGAGGCGGGGCCGGTGGATGATGGTGTCGCATTTCACGGTCAAGGCGATCAGCTTCTCATGGTTTTGTAGCTCTTCCCAATTCTGCCAAGCTTCCTCCCACTCGCGGTGTAGAGCGCCATCGCGTATATGCACAATAAATGCCAAATGGCCGCCAACGTGAACCCGATACGGAGTTCAGTCGTCAACTTTGATGTGTACTCGTTGCCCATGTCATTACTCCAGCAAATATTTGACGCCAAAAGCAAAATTCCGAGCTGCTCGTTCGGCCGGCTCCCTGTCCTGAGATGCCCAGACTGTGTTGGTACCTCGTTGTATTCGTTTGCTTCGGAGTAGAGCTACGACGGTGTCTCGCTCCACTGTCACCACATTCCACAAATAGAATGCTACGGAAATCCCCTTCGGCGTACATGTTCTTAGGACTGGGGCCATTCATATTGGCGAGCTGCTCCCGGACGAACTCATTCGCGGCTGACTCGGACTCGAAGTTCTCCAGGTTGCCGATGACCGATGTGACAGAGCGCTTGCCATTGTAGTGGTACTCGTCTGCTATCTTCTGAGAATAACCTGACCGTGGAGTGCGTTTCTCGATTTTCTGGAAGTCGTGCTTGCTATTTTCGAGGCGCTCGTGCATGTTATTTTCAATGTTTTCATTCTGATTTGCAGATCTTCAATGTCAGTGGATACCGTAGTTGCGAAAGTGTCCAAGTTGCCTCTCATATCCTCAAGTTGTGCCTTCAGCGGTCCAGTGGCCTCTTGAAGATATTTGTGTGAAGCGCCGTACTTCTTGATAGCCGCGATGTCCTGTTGGATTGGGCGTAGTTGGTTTGCAATCAGGGCTCCAATCGCATCCAATGTAAGCGGTTCTCCTCTTGATCCAGATGAGC